AATATAGTTGCATAAATAATGGATAAATGAAAGATACATAACATGAAAGTAAATAAATAGATAAAGGAATGAATATGTATATGTATATATATACATGTATATATATATATATATATATATATATATATATATATATATATATATATATATATATATATATATTATATATATATATATATATATATATATATATATATATATATATATATATATATATGTATATATATATATATATATATATATATATATATATATATATATATATATATATATATATATATATATATACATATATATGTATATATATATATATATATATATATGTATATATATATATATATATATATATATATATATATATATATATATATATATAAATATATATATATATATATATATATATATATATATATATATATATATAAATATATATATATATATATATATATATATATATATATATATATATATATATATATATATATATAAATATATATATATATATATATATATATATATATATATATACATATATATATATATACATATATATATATATATATATATATATATATATATATATATAGATAGATAGATAGATAGATAGATAGATATAGATATATAGATATAAAACCAATATCTGTTATATCATATACTACCAACACACACACATAATCATAAATCATTTTCAACCCACCGTGTGTGTGGAAGGGAGGGAAGGGAGGGAAATGAAAGAAGAGTGGGGGGGGGGGAGGCTAAGAGCATTTTTTGCTCTGGAAATACGGGAGGAAATTGAATTTAGATACGAAGCCTAGGATATAACAGGTGAGAGAGAGAGAGAGAGAGGGGGGGGGGAGGCAAAGTATGTAAGAAAGAGGCAAAAGGGAATATGATATGTGTTTGCCATATCTAGAGAAGGCAAGGTGCTGTGGCAAATGCGAAACAGAAATCATTTCATCTTATTTATGTATGACGATCCTTTCAAGAGGGGGAGTAAAGATGGCGACGTTTGTGTAATGTATGAATGTATACTGATGCTCTATCTGTTAATGACTGTCTCTATGCTGAGTGCTGTGTATATATTGGTGTCATACTGTATTTATTTGTTTATTTGTGTGCTGAAGACCCCATATGTCCAAATTCTTCCTAGTTTTATTTCGTCTGCGATGAGCCGGTATCCATTTTGTATGTATGTCTCATCAGTGCCTTAATACCTCTCAGGTATTCTAGAATCTATCTTTTCTTCTGCCTCCCTCTCTCCCTTTCTCTACTCTACTTCCCTTCGCATTTTCAGCCACGGTCATCCCCTCCTCTTGAAAGGCTTTCTGATTTACCTTAGTGTCCCCTCTTATCCGTTCTTTCTTACTTCTATTCACTTTTAAATCTTCTTTCCTACTTAGTTTCATCGACCCTTCTGTGTGTTTACTGCTAATCTAAATCTCCCTTTGAATTCCGTTTATCAGGCTCGCCACTTCTTATCTGCCTCCCTTTGGTCTCATTCAGACTTTTTTTTTTTGAGCCGTTATTCTCATTACGAACTCTCCCGTTTTCTTTCCTTATGAAATTCCATTCTCAATCTCTGCAATGTCACTGATGTGAGATTTTTTTATGGTAATATATCGGAATAATATTCTACGTTGTGTTATATGTCGCCGAGAAGGATTTCCTTTTTCTTTTTATCGGATATCTTTAAAAAAAAGTGTTGTTTTTTTCTTTCTTTCTTTCATTCTCTCTCTTTCTCTCTCTCTCTCTCTCTCTCTCACTCTCTCTCTCTCTCTCTCTCTCTTTTAAGCAAAGTTGCCCATTTATCAATAAAGTCCTTAATTTTCACACGTTTTATAATTTAGTTCTTGGTAAATCTTGGTTTTATCTTTATATACACGTTGCTGTGTTTATTCCTGTTACATTTCAATAAATACATCTCGCTTTAATTGAATCACGTCCTATTTCATTTTTTTTTTTTTTTTTTTTTTTTTTTTTTTGTGTACACGTCAATGCCTTTTTCTGTTCCCGATGGAGTTCATTTATATCGAATAATCACTTGGGTTTCTCTGGATTTTATTTTTTTTAATTATATTTCTCCATTTGTAACGGCCTTTGCCTTCTCTGTGTATTTCTCCATATTCAGATAAATAGGGATATATATTTTTTTCTTTCTCTCTCTTGAATCCGTTTTTTTTTTCTACTTTACACTGTCATCTAATATGGGATATCAGTTCAACACCTTTTGTTAATAATTACAATTCGCTCTCTCTCTTTCCGTCTGTCTTTCTCTCTCATATATATATATATATATTTTTCTTCTTCTTCTTCTTTTCTTTTTTTTCGTTTTCTTTTTTTCTTCACGTCAGCACTGACTATTTCCCCAGTGTGTTTGTCACTGAAGTTTTTCTTCTTCTGTTTCTGAGAACAAAGTCTACTCCCTCAGCTCTCGTATAATTTCTCTTCCTTTCTCAATAGCTTCCCGCACTTCCATTGGGATTTAGTCTGGTCCTGTCTCTTTGCTGTTTTTTCTTCTTAAAAAAATCCTGTGGTCATTTTTATCTTTAGAAGGTGAGCTCTTACGATTTTCTTAAGGGTGACGAATTCCACTCAAGATGTTCTACCTGCTCGGTCTTTTTATCATTAACTTCTGATCTCTCTCCCTATAGTATTATAAATCCCACTCTATCATAACGAAAGCTCTATTCCAAATCCTATCTTTGTATTTTTCGGGAACTCGCCTGGATGTACCATTCTCTCTCTCTCTCTCTACTCTCTCTCTCTCTCTCTCTCTCTCTCTCTCTCTCTCTCTCCCTCTCTCTTTCTCTTAATTTGATATTGACTACTTTCTCTCTCTCCCTTGCAACACGCTATCTATTACTGGTCAAAAAAACATCTTCATCCTCCCTACCATTATTATTATTATCGTTATTACAATTATTTCCTTTTTATGCGAGTGTTAGTAGGCATACCACTCTCGCTCTGGGTCATATTAAGTCAGCGTGGATGAATCTCAAGAGATGATCCCGCGAGGCATGAAAGATTACCTTGTAAGGTTATTATATAATTTGTACGCAGGTTGAGGCTTCCATTAACGCTGGTGCATTGCTGTGTACTTGTTTTAATGTTAAAAGTTGAACTACAATGTAATCGAAGAGAGTTCAGTGCTAACCTTTGTACTGACATTAAACTTGAATTTCTCTTGTCTTAGCATTATTTAACAGCTGTGTGTTGTCTTTCTTATTTAAAAAAAAAGAAAAAAAAGGAAAAGAAAATGGATTCTCTTTGTACTTATGTCATTTCTTTTAATGAACAGATTCCTCATTTTTCAGCCATTTTGTGAATATATTTCTTGGTAAATCTATTAATCCTGTTAGTAGATTCAACACATTTTGTTCCTTTCCTTTCTTTCTTTTTTTTCTGTTATTTTTTTTCTTTTGTACTTTTCTGTTACGTTTTCTTTCCTTCTTCATTTTTGTTGTTTTCTTCCTCTCCGTTTTCTTTCTCGCTTCTTTGTTCCGTTTTCTTTGCCTCTTTACTTTATTCCTTTTTATTTCTCTTTTCTCTTCTGTTCCGTTTTCCTTCCCGCATTACTTCTGTTTTGTTTTCTTCCTCTCTTCTCTTTGTTCGTTTTCTTCCTCTCTTCTCTTTGTTCCGTTTTCTTCCTCTCTTCTCTTTGTTCCGTTTTCTTCCTCTCTTCTCTTTGTTCCGTTTTCTTCCTCTCTTCTCTTTGTTCCGTTTTCTTCCTCTCTTCTCTTTGTTCCGTTTTCTTCCTCTCTTCACTTTGTTCCGTTTTCTTCCTCTCTTCTCTGTTCCGTTTTCTTCCTTTCGTCACTTTATTCCGTTTTCTTCCTCTCTTCACTTTGTTCCGCTGTATTTTCCCTCTTCTCTGTTCTCTCTTCCCCCTTATTCCTTTTTCGTTATCATTTTAATAACCTTTTAACTGTCAAACCATTTTCCTCCAGGGTGATGTTGCAATATATATGGTAATGTAATGTTGCATTGTATAATTTCAATAATTTTACTTCCGGTAACTCCTCTCTATAATTATGCCATATAGTTAACTAACCAATAACATTTTTTTTCTAATATTCTTGCAATATATTCTTGTTTTCATTAATATTGTAATCAATTGTTGTTAGTGAAAATGATGATAATGGTGATATAAGTAATAGCAACAATATTAATCATAATCATAACCATAATCATATTAATAACATCAACAACAACAATAACAAGCAACAACAACAAAAACAGCAACAACAATAATAATAATGATAATAATAATAATAACAATGCTAATGCTAACAATAGCAATTATAACAGTAACAGTAATAATATTGATAATGATAATAATAACAAGGATAAAAGTAACAACAGTAAGAATGATAATGATAACGATAATAATCATACTAACTATACCAAGAACTATGATGATAATGATAAAAACAATAAAAAGGATGATGATAACGATGATGATAACAACAATGATAGTCATTATCATTACTATAATTATTAGTAATATTATCATTATCATTATTATTACTATTACTGTTACCATTACTGTTGTTATCATTATCATTATTATTACTATTACTGTTACCATTACTATTATCATCATTATCATTTTTATTATTATCATTATTGTTGCTTTTGTTGATGTTATTGTTGTTGTTGATGTTATTAATATGATTATGGTTACGATGTTGATGTTATTAATATGATTATGGTTACGAGTACAGTAAAACCTGAGAAAACCGAACACCCATGGGACTGTAAAAAATGTTTGGACAGTGATCCGGTTTGGAGAGGGTGGGCTTTTAACACAGGCCGCCTATTGAAATGGGAAGGGACTGAGAATATCGTCCGGAATGGACAGTGATCCGGTTTTCTCAGGGTCCGGTTTTCTCAGGTTTTACTGTATTATTATTATCACCATTGCTATTATATCATTACTATAAGTCCCTTTAACCCTTACCTCTTGACTAAACCCCTTTTCTCTCTCTCTCTCTCTCCAGCTCGTCGTCCACATGGATAACAAGAGTCCCTTTAACCCACTGAACAAATGGGAAGACCACGAGGCATGTTGGCAGATGCAGTTCCGAGGGTCGTTGGGCGAGACGCTCCTCCACGTCCTCATCATGTGCGATACCAAAGCTCACACTCGAGTGGCCAAGATTCTGCTCAAGTGCTTCCCCAAGCTGGTTGTGGATGTGGTCGAGGGGGAGGAGTATCTGGGTGAGTTGTTTGAGGTTGGTTTTGGGGATCGTTTGGGGTTGGTTTTGGGGGTCGTTTGGGGTTGGTTTTGGGGGTCGTTTGGGGTTGGTTTTGCGGGTCGTTTGGGGGTGGGAATGGTTGTTTGGGGTTGGTTTTGGGGGTCGTTTGGGTGTGGGAATGGTTGTTTGGGGTTGGTTTTGGGGTCGTTTGGGGGTGGGATTGGTTGTTTGGGGTTGGTTTTGGGGGGTCGTTTGGGGGTGGAAATGGTTGTTTGGGGTGGGATTGGTTGTTTGGGGTTGGTTTTGGGGTCTTTGGGGGTGGAAATGGTTGTTTGGGGTTGGTTTTGGGGGTCGTTTGGGGGTCTAGTTTAGTCTAGTTTTTTCTTGTGAATTGTTTGAGGGTGTAATGGGTTGTTTGGGGGTGTTTTGTGACTTGGTTAGGGATTGTTTGGGAAGTTTGAGGTTGTTTGAGGTGGGATGGGTTGTTTTGGTGGGTTGTTTGAAGTTGTTTGGGAGTCAAATTGGTTGTTTGAGTTGTCTGAGGTTGTTTGGGAAGATTGAGGTCGGGTAACATGGTTATTTGGGAAGACGTGTGGCTGTGTCGTTTGCTTGGTTGCGTGGGTTTTTGTAAATTGTTTGGATGATGTGTAGTTTGTTTGAACTTGGGTAGTTTAGGCTCGTTTAGAGTGTTTCGTTGTTTGAGTGGTTAGGGTCAGGGTGGTGTGCTGTTTTGTACCGTAGATTAGTGTTTGATGTTTTAAACCAAATAAACGTGATAGACATCAAAGTTCATGTGGCACTAACCGTATAATATTTGGTTGTGTGGTTATGTATATGGTTTAAGCTCATTTTAAAACATATGTCAGTGGCGTGTCGGTGAAATCCATAATGGTTCAGTGATGTCCGAAGTGACCTCCATATAGCCTGAAGTCAGTGATGGCAGTTTTATAGACGTGGAATGGGGGATGATTGCTATAATTCTTGATAAAGAGGAAGAGGCTGGACGTAAGTCGAACTAGAGAGAATGAGGTAGTGAAAGAAAAGAGAAAGTGAAGGAGAATTTGCTATTCTGTATGAAGTGATAATTCATGATGGAACAAGAAATTTCCAGTATTTCAGTATTTCGGTGGCGACAATATTCACGACTGTTAATAGTCGAAACATGCGTCGGTCCAATTCAAAAGAACGATATTTTTTTCACCAATATTGATGGACTGAACGAACGCGGCAATGATACATCGCTGATATGTGTCAATGAAACTTTAGGGTTGGGTGGTGGCATGATTGCGTGTGTGTGTGTTGGGTGTAGTGTTTAGCAGTACGGTTGTGTGGTTTGGTGGTGTGGCTGCAAGAGGGATTGGGGAAATGGTGAAGTTGTGGTTTCTTGGTTTGTGTATAGTTGTGTGTTTGTGTGGTTGCGTTTGTATGCACGCACTCACACTCACACACACACACACACACTCACACTCACTGAAGTTGTGGTTGCGTGGTTTGTGTATAG